AAAAAAAAAAAATTAAAGGGATATTTTATTTTACCATTCATTAAATTCGCAGGTTTTCTTCAACACTGTGTTAACTATAGAAAAAGGACTACATTCTGAAAGACATTTGTAAATGCCTCAATTTCTTCAAATTTTATGTCTAAATTATTACAACCCCATTATTGTTTATTGCATACTTGGTACTTCACTGATAACGATGGTCCTGGCAGTAGTTCCCTGAAAGCTGCATTAATCACTCATTCTTTAATACCTAATCGTAAGAATACATGTTGGTCAGATTATCACATGGATAAAAGTAATCACTTATTGCTTGCACACCATTAACGATCTGGAAATTTAAGGTAATGCCATAAAAAAATATTTATGACAAATAATGAGGGGAAGCAATCTATTCTTGCAACCAATGGGTAATAGCAAGCCTTAAAAGGTGTGTGAATGTTGTAAAATATTTAGCAGACATCCAAATGGTGCAGCAGCGTAGGTATAGACGAGAATCAACTATGGGAGAAAGATTAATTTCTATATCTTGCATGACGGGTTGTAAAAGCCCAGTGGTGTACTAAGAATACCCAGTACTAAAAATATATATCTTCTTCCATGGGCTAGAGTAAGTATTATTAAATCTGTACATTTTCTGCACTAGAAATATTTTATTCTTTAAAATTTTCTTAGTGACAACAGATTTTCCCAATTTTAACTTATAGGCACAAATACTGAAAATATACAACCTTCAACCTACATCTATCATACAGTATATGCCAAAGCTACAAGTAACAGATTAGACGTGTAACTTCAATATCCAATTAAACCCAACACTAAATGTTGCAATGTGTGTACTTGATAAAAATATGGACCAACTTTCTTGACTGGAGTTACTAAGAATAACATCAATGGGTATTCACCAATGGAGGAACTTTAAAGTCAGAAACAAAGGTTCTTTACACAGTTTACTGTGAAACATTCATTCATGTACAAGGTTCAGATTTGATCAATAGAAAAGAGATGGAATGGACATCTTCCTTTCAATATACTTCATGCCCCATGTAATGTTTACACAGCCCTGTTGATATTAGGTGAATCGTGCCCTCCGCAATCTGTAAAACTGACACTAAGCTACGGAAGTGAATATAATTGGAATATTAATTAATCAATATACACTTCTAAATAGCATCTCTTTTTTTTGTCTACTCTGGTTAAATATCTACACTACACTTGAGGGCAGTGTATACATTAGCTGGACAAAACACCCAAAAACACTGTAAATAATAGAACCAGTCTCGAAGCTTGTAAACATTTCCTTTCATAGTATAAATCATATGTGCTGTGTTTATCCTAACATGCTTGTGGGAAAAGGCCTAGCTATAACAAAATGAGTAGAAGTATTGCGTATATGCAAAAGAAAGGTCAATTAGAAACTTTCACTCTGGTACAGCAACAGCACGACTCCTAATAAGCTTTACTGATCCCATAGTTTCCTAATTGGTAAATCTTTTAGATACCAGAATATAATGTTATGAAAACTTACAAAAGTTCTTAACTCACCCAATATATATATAATCAATAACATTTAATAAAATGTACGAGTGCTGTGGAAGTTGGCCAATAGCATCACAAGTATTCAGACATTAGGTACAACTCTTATCACCCTAGTGCCTACCATAAATAAAATGAAAATTACTTCAGCACTCAAATATCTAAATGTTGCTATCCACCCGCTTCCACTGATGAACTATTGGAAATATTTGAATGAGTTTTGGTGTCCGCACATTAATTATGAAAAATTTAATACTTGCCTCTGCTTTAAGAAAACACCTTGTATGTACAACGATGGTCAAGTCTTCAAATTGTTATAGGACAAGAGAAGCAAGAGAATCTTCCTTTTACCACAAGACTGGAATTCTTGTTATCCGTTTATTCAGGAGATTAACAGATCAGATGATATCCAACTTTACATCTTTCACACAATTTAAGAGGCAAGTATGACAATGTTGGTGCCACCTTCACAGTAAAAACTTTTCCCTAGCTCTCATCAAAATTGCTCAAGATGTAATTTCAGAGCAAAACAAAGAATAAAAACTGTCTTCCATCAATACATGCATCCTGCATCTCCAAACCAAATCACCCGAGTAAAGCCCAGATTCCAGCTTCTCTTCGGCACCAAGTGGCGATCTAGACACCAGGCAATCATCATCAAGGACACAAAAACAGCAGTGCTTCTATAAACAAATCTCCCAGCTCTAGGTCTGTTACCAACATTTTGGATTGTAAAGTTGCAACAGGAGTCCCACTGAAGTTCTAGTGTCCTGGATTTGCCATCTTTTGATGTTAGCCTGTATAAAGATAAAAAGTATTAGCCTGTGGGGATAAACGTTACACAAAGAATCCATCCAGAGATCACTTTAGCCAATTATCAAAGTGATAACGGCTCTACATGAAAGTCTCCACAAGGCTTTGCAAATTACTTGCTGGATACCTATGAAAGCATTTTCTTTCTACAGTGATATAGACTAATTGTGCATATATTAATTTTTTATTTACTTAAATGGTAAAATAAATGAGGAATGTTTAAACATTCATAAACATTTGCATATTCAGCACCATGCATAATCTATTATCAAAACACAGCTTTACACCTATACTCCAGTAAATTCATTTGCAAATATTAACAAAACTTGATATACTGGACAAGTAAAAATGTGTAACGAGTTGAAGGAAACATGAAGATATAACTAAGAATGTATCCAGTGTCAATAGTGAACAATTAGAATGCAGTAATAATTGAGGTGGAGAGAGACTACACACTGAACACTTTTGCTGCCTAATGCCCCATATTTTGTCATAAAATCAAAGTATGGAGTATGCTGGATGACGCAAACAGCGTCAATAATTAAACAATTTGTAATAATTCCATTTATTGTCTGAACACTATGGGACTTGTTTTAAAATGAGTGGCAATTTCTTCCCTTTCTCTGTATATCCCATCTGGCATCCTGACCCCACCATGTGGGTGCTCACCCACGCTGGAGGCGAACTGTTCTCGTGACAGCCACAGCCTTCCCTAGAGTCAAAAAGTTTCCCCATTCTGGTTATTTTATCTCACGTATTTGTTGTTACTGGCTTTATAAACACTGCAAATTGACTTCCAGATGGATACTGATGAAGAACAGACCCAATCCATGATGAAAGCATCGAAAGAAACACGTACGAGGGAAAAGTTACTAAGTTTTCATTGAAAGTACAGTATAGAAAAGCAAGACTTGTATGTTCTTATATGCAAATATCCCTTTACAGCATTCTATTGCAAACAATTTGATACTAAATTGAGGTCAGAAACCTGAAAAGAGTATAAACATTTTTGTGTGTGGTGAGCTCTTGGTCTACCTTGCAGTGCGCGGCAGGTCTAAAGTATAGGAAAGCGAGACTTATATGTTCTTATAAGCACATATTCCTCTAGAGCATTCTATTGCGAACAATTTGATACTAAATTGAACGATGTAGCATGAAAATTTGGGTCAGAAAGTAAAAAGAGTACAGTATAAACATTTGTGGGTGGTGGTGAGTTCACACACACCACTTGGACTACCTTGAAGTGCATGGCGGGTCACCCGCCGGGGTAATGAAAGTGTTAAGAACTTTGTATATTTGATACTTGTGAAAAAACTAGTTCTTACCTAAAACGGTGTTCAACAGCACCCGCCACCTGCTTGAGCCTCCACTGGGGCACTGGGATTGATCTTGACTCCTTGTGTGGCCCCAGCAGCTCCAGAAGGAGGTCCCATACGATTCTTAATCTCTGCAGCCATAGTCATGAAGGCCTGTTCAACATTGGTTGCATTCTTGGCAGAGGTTTCAAGAAATGGGATCCCTAATGAATCTGCATATTCCTGCAAAAAAGAAACATTACCATGTCTTTAATGAATAAGAACCAAGAAAAGGCTAATTTAAAAGCATCTACTGTGTACAGAGAAAGGTGATGGGGCCATATGTACAGAGGCAAACCCTCTTGGTAGGATTAGATAAGGAATCTGCAGGATCAGACTAGATTTAACAAGAGCTACTGAAAGATGGAGCAGAAATAATATTTAAACTATTAGTTCAAGTCATTAATAAGTAGGAAGTGTCCAGAAATTTGGAAGACCAATTTTGGTCTTCCAGATTTCTATGTTAAAATAAGGATTCAGGCAAGAGGCCTTAAATAGTTTTAAGGTGTTAAGCACAGTTAAATGGTTAAATAACTAACAAGTGTTATTGACATGTGTTTCAAGTAAATTAATTATTATATGGAGATGACTACCTTTATCATCAAGACAGCACAGGTTTAGAAAGGGAAAGATATACCTGATAAAGCTGACTGAATAGTAATACAGGCAATGATACTATTTTCAGAAGGGTTGAACCCAGGACCTAATGAACAACTTTTCTGAATGCAAAAACCCAAGTCACTGGAAAACACAAATTTACTTTCCCTATATGGTGTATTTTGGTCAAATTGGTCCCTGAACACTTATATTTCCACCTAGTATTTTTTAATAAAATAACTTGCACTGATGTACAAATATACTATATATACACAATACCATATTCATGAAAATACAGTACATAATAGCTTATACATTACTATGTGAATAATCAAAGCCATGAAGGCTTTTATTAGACTGTAAATATACCCAATACTGAAAACAAAATGCAGTTTAATAACATTAATGTTTATTAAACATGAAACAGCCTACAAATGCATTGTATTGTCTTTGCATGCACAGCTTGTGTGCTAGCCTCTAACCTACGTAACTTAACTATCAGCCACAATAGCATTTCAGGCACCACCACAGTCGATTCGTCCATCTGGCTGGTGCATAACCAGTAACACCTAACGCAAGCAGCATTTGTAAAACTAGCATAGATAAGGATAGCTTTAGAAACCTAAGCAGGGACTTTCAAAACAACACATTCTACAACAGGCAAGTTCAAGAATATGCAGCACTAGAATAGTCCCCCCACCTCGCAAAACACAAGACTGGAATAGAAGAGAGCCGAGGTATGAGAACAGATCAGGAGAACTTTGGAGATTTACCTATATTGTGCATGCAATATGTAAGGGAAACGAGCCGAGTAGTAGTCATGGAAGCCAACTGCATCCAAGAGCAAGAACACACATTACTAGAATGTTGAGATAAATGCAACAACAAGATACAGTACAACAGTGCATGTTGTTGTTGGGTACAACAGTGATAAGTAAGGGCCAAAATGCTAGTTCTGACTCACAAAAGGTTCAGTCGTATAAGCACACTGATAATCCTCTTAAATTATTTCAAGCATGTGAAACAAATATGGAACAACGAAAGAAAGAACATGGAGTATGGGTTACTAAAGATTCCTTTGTTCAGGCTACTTAAAATACTTGACCATTCAAAATTTTATATTGCAACATGTAAAATATTTTATGTTCTAACTTAATATTATAAAAAAGTAAAACAAAATTAATACATTACTGTAACAAGAATTTAAATTTATACAGGTAAATAATCTTTTGATGCACAGTATAGCTAATACAATCTGAAATTATTTAAAGATGCCAATGGGCAATGAAAAACTGAAAACCACAAATTTGTGTACAGTAACAAAAATAATACTATTATTACCTTAGCTGTTTGATAATCAACTACTTTCTTGTGGGTAAGGTCACATTTGTTGCCCACCAGCAGTTTGTTGACATTTTCACAAGCATATCTATCAATCTCTTGAAGCCACTGCTTAACATTATTAAAAGATTCCTGAAAATAAATAAGTATGAGGTTATAAATAGGCCAGAATTAGTGTGTGCACTAGTATGTTGTCTAAAAAGGTAGGTCTCACATTAAGAATGTATGACTGCGAACATAATTGTCAAAAATGCACAATATGATTGCATGTTTCTCCTAGGCTACATTCTATGCAAAATCAAAATCAAATGAAAACGATAAGGAATTTAATATTAAACAATTCAATGAAAGAACTAACATTTAACCTTAGACTGCATTAAATCTCTATGTTCAAGTTTCATCAAATCTCCTCTTCAACCTAAAAAGGTACTCCCCTCATTGACTACCTGCATAATATACAACCATCTCTTACTCATTTGTGTTTACAACATAACACAAGTAGCAAACTGCAGAAAGCATTTTAGCCCATGCAACAGCTCTATTTATAACCAAGCTAATTCATATATCAAACTTCTTTAAAATATCTAGTGTTCCCATGCCTATTATGCACATTAATATGCACAGTAATGTGTTCCATAAATCTACAGCCCTATTCCCAAACCAGTATTTACCAAACTCTTTCCCAAATCTAAAGTTATCCAATATGTATCAATTGTATTATGTTCTATTTTGTTTACATATTTAGTCCCTTGTTAGTATTCCTCTGGTTATACTCCAATACATTTGTATGTTCAATAATGTCATCCTTTACTCCTCATTTTTCTTCATCTGTATATGGGAGTCTCCCAATTCCTGGGATTAACCATCATCCTTCTCTTTAAATATCCTAGTGAATTTATACCTATTCTATAGCACATTGTAAATCAATGAGAATATGGTCTCTGAACATTTTGAAGTCAGGAATGCTATTTTTTTTAGATACAGTAGTTAGGTAGTATAAAATACATTATATTCATAAACTCAATGTCTGCTAAATAGAGTTGATTCGAGCCCTAAGTTTTAAGTATGGCTCCATATACAAGTATGGATGGTGGAGGCCAGTGGCTATGCCCCCCCCCAATCAGAAAGATAATAAAATGCCTATTTAACTGCAGTAGTTAATAAATGCCCAGTCACTTTCCATTTACACCCAGGTTCAAATCTTCAAAATTATGATGCATTGCACATCTGATTTCCAAAAGGACATCACTCTTGCCCATTGGAAGAAGATACTGAATGTTAAATATCTCCTCCCTGATAAATACCAAGTGAGTAAGTAATTATAAAAAGAAGGCACCAAGCCGGGAAAGCTACATGGCACCATCAAACGTGCAAGATATTCAAAAGGTGCCAGAAGATCACTAAGGATGCAAATCTATATAAATAAAAATGTAAATGTTCGTTTGTTCAAAATCGCTAATCTTCAAAACTTCCCCGATTGCTTTGAAATTTTCACACAACGTTCCATTCGTATCCGAGCGGGTTTTTATATACATACTATATAGATGTCACATCTGACGGGGAAAAAAAACATGTTTTTTTTTTAAACTTTTTTTTATGCGAGGGGAACTCTTCGAAACCTCTTTACCGATTGTTTTAAAATTTTGACAACGTTGCATTCGAATAGGCGCGCGTTTTTATATACCTACTATATACATGCCACACCTGTGACAAGTAAAAGCATGCTTTTTTTGAGAAACAGCGCCATTTGTTGCACGTAATAGCAACAAACGCTAGTTTGTTGATACGGAATACTAATTATGTTTCCGATTCCATATCAATGCAATCGGAAACATATTCCATGTTTCCGATTGCATTGATAAATTGACTTTTCATAGATTTTTATTTATTTTAATTTTTATTTAATTATTTTGTGTGACATTGCGTTGGAATTGAGCTGTGTTTTTTACCATGCCATTCATTTCATGAGTATAGTTTTTTTATTTTTTCATTTTCATTTTTTTTTTAACTTTTTCTCTTATTTCAGTGATGGGAACATCAGGTCATTTGATGTTCCCAATTTTGTGATGGGAACATCAGATCATTTGGGAATGCATCGGACGAGGGAGTGAGGAATGTTGGGGAGAAAGAGGGGACAGGAATGGAGGTACAGAGGATGAGGGGACGGGGAGGGGGGATAGTGGGGACAAGGGGACAGGGTAATGGAGAATGGTGGGGAGAACAAGGGGGATGGGGGAGGTGGCAATAGTGGGGAGGATGAGGGACAGTGGAGTAGGGAAATGGTTAGGAGGATGAGGGGACGGAGTGGGGATGGTGGGGAGGACAAAGGGACAAGGAGGGGGAATGGTAGGGAGGACGAAGGGACGGGGGAGTGGGAAATGGTGGGGAGGTGGGGAGCCTGATCAACCAGGCTGTGACTCGTACGTCAGGCTGCGAGCAGCCGCGTCGAACAGCCTGGTTGATCAGTCCGGCAACCAGGAGGCTTGGTCGACGACCGGGCCGCGGGGACGCTAAGCCCCGGAAGCACCTCAAGGTATGGGGGGTTGGGAATAGTGAGAAACATGACAGCAGGAGCATAAGGCTTCAAAAGGACTAAGGACTGTCCTATGGAGCATCACACCCCAGCAGCCACCCACCAAGGCCCCCCCCCTCACGGAAAGGGAGGGGGTTATGCAATTAAAAGTTAAAATGTATAGGTAGCGTGTTTTATATAATTTATTAAAAATATTGGTAATCAGATAAGTGTAGCCTTGTATTATCAAATTGTGCTGTATATTTTGTTTAACCACTGTATTCACCTAGTTGTGCTTGCAAAGGTTGAGCTCTGCTCTTTCAGCCCACCTATTAACTGTCAATCAACTGTTACTAACCCCCCCCCCCCACACATTCACTCAGGAAGCAGCCTGTAACAGCTGTAACTTCCAGGTACCTATTTACTGCTAGGTAACGGTGAAAAATTCTGCCCATTTTTTTTCCTCGCTGGCACCGGGAACCAAACCCCAGTCCACAGGATTACATGTCCAGCATGCTGTCCACTCAGCCACTAGCATTCCAGACTGTATAGACCATCCTGCGCAAACCATGATATCATGGGAAAAGGATGTGCTGACACCAGCATATCACATTTATCAGAATATGGTAAGATTCAAAAGTCTCACAATTACAGAGCTCACATCCTGTTCCTCAGGACCAAAGTAAACAGATGTCATCTTTAGAGAGATCATCTACATCCCATCTAATTGCCAGAGCCTTAGTACTGCCAGAGTGACCAAGGCTGGCACATGCAGCTGGAGCTCTCGTCACAGCTATGCAGGTCGGGATCACAGCTCCACTTGATAACGATGCAATGATAGTATTGCAGATCGTGATTGTGATAAAGACTATGAACAATGTTCAGATGTCAATGAACACAATGCTATTTTATGATGTTCACATGTGGCAAGAGAGCACTCAGAAATTGTTCCGTGCATTTATGCATCATGAAGCAAACCCATGCTCCTTTATAATATAACCTTATGGAAATGGATTCATATTAAGGGTTTAATTACAGGAATGTGGTGACGGTAATAGTTCTGTGGTTAGTCTTAGTGATGTGCATAGTGTATTGGAAGTATTTTCTAGCATAGGTGACATCTGCTGGGGTATTGTCTGCTGATATCATGTGGCTCCATGTTGTATTATGATTTCATTGCCACACCCCCACCAAAACTGATTGGTTACAGTTATTAGTAGCTGTTCTTATGAATAAAACGTTCTTATTCTTCAAAAATTCGTCTAAAATCAACATCTGAAAATATTTTTATGAGAGTTTCACGACACTGAAGTAAATAAGTTGGAGATTTGTTTAAAATTTTTACGTTATTTTTACATAATTTGAATATTTTTCGATGTTATGCCCCCTAAATTCGCGGACATATGCACGGTCTAAGGGTTAATAAGCTTTAGAAATTTACAAGAGAGTACTGTACTGGTATCCTTCAATACAATACTGTGCAAGTAAAGAAAGTTCTCAGTTGTCCTTACAGTAACATTCTATACATCATATCTTCCCATCGACTCATTATATAACAAGAGACAAGGTGTTACCTTAAAACATATCGTCATCTACTTGAGTAAACATACAATTGTGAAATAACCAAGCAAAATAATCTCAAGGACCAATATTCAAGTCACAAAATGTCAACATATTAGCATTAGCACACAAGGTCTGTAATGCTTTATCAATTATCCCTCAAACTCTGTATTGACAGAAAACAGCTAGCATGATCTATGTTCAAGATTCAGAACATAGAGATAAATTTAAAAGGTATAATAATATTATTCAAATAAAGTCGTATACATAGGCATGTGGTAAAGGGCACCGCCTTACTTGGTCAGTTGTATCATAAACAACAATGATTCCATGTGCTCCCCGATAATAAGATGACGTGATGGTTCGGAAACGTTCCTGTCCTGCGGTGTCCCATATCTGAAGTTTGATAGTTTTGCCATCTAACTCAATGGTACGAATTTTCTGTAAAGCATTTATTACATTAGTTATACAATAACACTATATACTACTACTATTACTCGTATAACCAAATCCTTAAATGATAAAACATTTTTTATAGTTATAAGAAGAATGTATAAGCTATACTTACAAAATCTACACCTATGGTACTGATGTAAGATTCTGTATAAGTGTCATCCTGGAAAGAAAAGTGATAAATGAAAGTCACAGTAATAACGTAATTTAGTATACAAAAAAAAAATCATGAAATATTGTAGTATCGTACTTAGTACTGTAAAATAGTGGTACCAAGGTTCTATAGTAAAATAAGAGAAATACAGTGCACCCTCCCAAATCTGGACCACCCTAGACATTTCCCTCTTCACAATGGACCAGGCTTGCCCACTGACTTTCCCCTCCAAATATATATAAAAAAAAAAAATCCATATCCAGGAGGATAAACTCTGAAATCAGAATCATGAAAGTAAATTCCATCAATTCATTTGTTTTAATTTGGCTGATCTTGTAAATTTATTTGTAAATATTATTTTCAATAATGCATTTATATTTTTGAATGGTTTCACTAAGCTTGTAATGTACTATAAATTTAACAAATTACTTCTTCAAAAGGTATTTAGACCTACTGTACTGTTAGGGAACATGTACCGACCTTGTTTTCTCCTCATGCAAGTGTGGTTTGACCTTTAATTAGTAGAGCATGTACTTTTTTTTTAAATACATCATTATTTCAAAGTTGAAGTCAGTGTTCAAGAGAACTTGAACACCTCCATAGGATACCTGATCAACCAGGCTGTGATTCATACATCAGGCTGCGAGCAGCCACGTCCAACACAGCCTGGTTGACCAGTCCAGCAACGAGGTGGCCTGGTCGACGACCTGGCCGCGGGGTCGCTAAGCCCTGAAATCACCTCACGGTAATCTCATAAACTAGAGGGTTAAAGGCCTTGCAGAGTCATCAATAATGTATGCATTCAATATTAATGAAACTAACATATTATATCCTAGTAATGTCTCCTACACCATACTACAAAAATACTCACTGCAAATCTTAAGAGAAGGCAAGACTTTCCCACACCACTGTCACCAATGAGTAGTAGTTTGAACAGATAGTCACTGAAAAGAGAGAAATGTCATTAATGTACATCATAGTTAATTTTTGTAACATTAAACAGAGCTCATATAGGTTAACTCAGTTTAAACAATGCATAAATGAATTAATGCAATTGAACCTTAAGAAAATAAATAAATTCTAAAACGACTGAGCAAAAAGCATTATGGAGCTCAAGTCACACTTGGAATAACTTTCGGATTTACTGTATATTTTGTTTGATATTTAACCTCAAAACATGAAATGGTTACTATAACCTAAGTATTTTTGCAAGTTGTCAATATTGTACAGTATTACCGGTACTTCAAAATCTCTCTGGTATCATTGGAAAGACATTAAATTTGTTTCCTACTAAAAAAAATGAATGGTTTTTAACAAAATGTTTAAACAAATTTAACAAATCACAACCAATTTTTAACATTGCTGATTTGGGAATTGTGTAAATTTTTTTTTTTTTTTTTTTAGATATATACAAGAGTTGTTACATTCTTGTAGAGCCACTAGTACGCGTAGCGTTTCGGGCAAGTCCTTAATCCTATGGTCCCTGGAATACGATCCCCTGCCGCGAAGAATCGTTTTTTCATCCAAGTACACATTTTACTGTTGCGTTAAACAGAGGCTACAGTTAAGGAATTGCGCCCAGTAAATCCTCCCCGGCCAGGATACGAACCCATGACATAGCGCTCGCGGAACGCCAGGCGAGTGTCTTACCACTACACCACGGAGACTGCAATCAAACACCTATAAAAACTACGATGATCAAGAAAACACTTAAATAATTGTGTCCTGAATTAAATTTGAAAGCAAAAATGCAGCATCACAATTCCTTAGGAATATCCATATTAATTATATAACATACTTTATAGATGACTTGTATAGTAAATCTGATTATGTTTTATGTTCACATGGAAGAAAAAATTACTAATTGGCAACTTGTCATTACCAGATTTATTAAAGATGAAAAATAAATAAAATACGTTGAGTTGGCCGATTTCTTTCAAAGCTCAAAATGTAGCTAATAAATGTTTTCTAATATTAATAAAAAATACTGTATGTATAAACTTAAAAACATGACTGGCCCCTTAAGATCCAAATATGGAGAAAGACCAATTTATGAGAAATTTCAGAAAGAAAAGTGAAACAGATGAGGGAACAGACCTTGGAGTGTACACCCATCCAGAACAAATCAAAACTTATCTATTACCCAACATTGTACAACAAACAAGTAATCTGATTAAAGTGGGTTCATGAAATATTTGATTATTTTCTTTACAACGCCTATTACTAATCAGCACTTGTGATTTGCAAATCATGCAAGACTACAGTACCTATAAAAGCTACACAAATATTTTATAACCGCCAAAACTCATTGCAAATTAAATGCAGATACTTGTACTGTACTTCCAACACACATTTAACAAGATAATAGTAGGATAATTAAATTCGCATTTTATATTTATTCCCGCAAATTAAAACTGTACTGTATTCAGTGCATTTCCAAATCTGAAGAAATTCTATTCATTATAATACAGTAATGCACTGAAAAAATGGTATTGTAATCAGAAGTTGGAATATGGGAACAGGACGAGTAAGAACAAATGAAATATTTTGGGGGAATGGGGAAAGAATATGAACAATACACAGTATCCACAAATTACTCATCACATTACAAGTCTTAAAGTCATTATAATATTCATATCATAACAGTATCTTAAAACTGTTTGCAGGAACAAATCCACAAGGGCCGTGACGAGGATTCGAGCCTATGTCCAGGAGCATCCCAGACGCTGCCTTAATCGACTGAGCTACGACATGGTCAAAAAGAGTTGAAACCGAAGTTCTACTAAACTTACTGGATCCTGCAGCCTCTTCAAGACACAAACCAGGGTTTTTACACAACTCCCCCCATGCACTCGAGCTATGTCAATAGGCCGTTTTCCCTCTTCGCCCTTACTTCCAATACACACACAAATCCCAATAGCGTGATGCATCAAATGAACAAATCCATAAGAGCCATGACGAGGATTCGAACCTACGTCGTGTGTATTGAAGTAAGGGCGAAGAGGAAGAATGGCCTATTGACATAGCTAGAGTGCATGGGGGAGTTGTGTAAAAACCCTGGTTTGTGTCTCGGAAAGGCTGCAGGATGCAGTAAGTTCAGTAGAACTTCGGTTTCAACTCTTGATTATGTTGTAGCTCTGTCGATTAAGGTAGCACCTGGGATGCTCCCGGACGTAGGTTCGAGTCCTTGTCACGGCCCTTGTGGATTTGTTCATTTGATGCATCACACTATTGTAATTTGTGTGTGTTTGCAGGATTTTTTTTTTTTTTTAACTTCACAGACCATCCACTACGGGCACAACAACTGTGAAGGAGAATTAAGACATTTCCTTGGAAAATATCTGAAAATTCCATTAATAAAGCAATCACCCATGCAATGGCAGAAACAATTTTATGATTGGCTGTGCATAACATCAAAAAGGAACTGGTGTGCCTAGTGTCTTCAAAAATAGGGTAGAAATTCAGGAAGTATTTATCAGAAGTCCTAATGAAATCCATTAGCCGGGCCAACCATGCCAAAACTGGCTTATACAGTACTGCAGTTTTGGGTCTCACACATACAAATCATTAACATGCAAGAGAATCATTTTCTCCCACACCAATGTAATAACCACTTATTTTGTCATTCAAACACTAGCGACCACTAACTACACTAGACAGTGGTAGTCTTATGTTCCACTAATGAGCTCCCTCCTGTTCTTTAAGTTCCAGGAATTCTTCCCAATCAATTTTATCTATTCCTGTTACTATTTTGTACGTAGTAATCATATGGCCTCTTCTATCTTCTAATTTTAGCATATTTAATGTCTAACATCTCCTCATAGCTCTTGTCCTTCAGTTCCAGGAGCCATTTAGTGCATGTTTTGCACCTTTTCCAGTTTTGTGTACTTAAGATATGGGTTGTAGGGTGCCCATATCTTAATTAAGAACATCAAACTGGAAAAAGTGCAAAGATATGTAACTAAATGGCTCTGAACTGAAGACCAAGTGCTACGACGAGAGGTTAGGCATGAAATATGCCAAAACTAGAAGCTAAAAGAGATATGATTACTATGTAATGGATCATGGAATAAAAAGGTACCCATTTCAATAAGTTTGAAGCAATTCTTTAGACATGAGATTGGGCTGGAAAATATTCCAGCCCAATAATGTACAAGCCTACATTATACAGTACAAATATACTATACACCAATTGCCTATCCTAGACAAAATGAATTACAGTACTGTGGTACTGTATGGGTACCTGGCTGCATCTAGGTCTTTTCCCCACCTTCCGAATCTCTTCTCTCTTCCCTCCCCTAACATCTCTCCTCCTGCTGTCCACCACTTAACTCTCACCACCTTACGCATAAACCTCCTCCCACCACATTTGTTGTTTTGTGCAGTGCATGCAGTGGTCAAAGAGAAGCCATGATCACTAAGTGTCCAGAGCATAGTTGAAGTGCCCCCCTCCCCCCACAAAGGGTCAAATATAAACAACAATGTTTATGTATCTATTGCATACCTGTCTCAAAGCACTCAAAATGTACTTTTTGGAAAAAAGAGAGAAGAAAGTTATCAATATATACATGGAAGATACTTGAAGGCCAGGTCCCAAATTTGCACAGTAGAACAACATACAGTACTGGAACAAAAGATATGGAAGGAAATGCAGAATAGAACCAGTGAAGAGTAGAGGTGCCATAGGCACAATCAGACAGCACTGACATCAGAGGTGCACAGCTGTTCAACACCCTCCCATCAAACATTATAAATATTGCTGGAACAAAAGTGGATGTATTTAAGAGCCACTTGGATAAGTTCTTGTAATAAGTGCCGGACCAACCAGGCTATATGACTATGTGGTGGGCCTGCGGCCACTCCAAGCAACAGCCTGTTGGACCAAGTTAACAAGTCGAGCGTGGCCTCAGGGAGAACAACTCCCAGAACCCCCTCCAGGTATTCTCCAGATATACTTCTGGTTATAAATCAAAGCGTCCTATTCACTTTGCTAGGCGACGTGCATCAATCTCTACCAATCATGACCCCAAGCCTCAAAACCATTTGCCACATTATCAAGTTTGGGACTATACACTTGACTATGCTGAACTATACATGAAACATCTCCCCAATTCTGCAGTATGATGAGCTCTTTCTGCAGAAAGAAAGAGCTTTCTTTCTCTTGCCAAGACCTCACTCAGGTCTACCATGTGCTCAACTTTGGCACCTGCAAATCTGCCAAAGCCAAACCAACTCGCTAAACAATGTCTGTATAAATTAAATAGACATTTCTACACTGTTTATATTGTGTTTTTGCAAATACATAGACAAGGTGTGTGTGTGGGGGGGTTGGGAGGGAGGAGGGAGGGAGGGGGGTGGACACCAAGGCTATCATGGGGGCTCTGGCGGCTGCATTTCACCTTCCATAATACGTCCACGGTAAACAACGGTTAATATAGTGTTCCAGCTGGCCTGTGCGCTCACCAAGGGACTATTTAGGCCGTTGCCTTTGTGTGTATACTGCGCAGGTGATCGCCTCTGGGCTCCGCTCAGCTGACTATGACAGCGGCTTGCTACCCTCTCTTAATTTGGTCTCCGCCTCCACTTATCCCCCAATATTACTCTAAATTAACCCCTCTAATTAATGCCTCTCAGCTACAGGTTCTAATCTCCACGGGCGCCGCTACCCGTGGCGAAGCTCTTAAACGTACACGTCTCTCTACTAAACGTCAAATATGATCACCTGATCGAACAACTGCCAGGAAATATCATCGACCTTGCACACCATAACAAATCCCCCTTACCCCTCAAAACCCGCTTGTACTCACTATTCAGGATTCATCGTGGACATCTTCTAACTGTAGACCTTCAGGACAAGTAGGTTTCGAGCGCCTCGGGTGGATAATAGGGCAGTACCAGCAGGAATACAAGACAGACCCTCCCCTCACTGACACAAGATGGCCGTTCCCTGGCGTTTGCTCTCCACGATGACGTCATGCCACATAGACACGCTATGAAAAGCCTCGCGTATCAACCCTCCTCCAGCCCCCTTCTCCTAAGCAAATTAACGACAAGTCGTTCAAAATTTAATATTAATGCATCTTAAAAAAATGTATTTTCGTATTTAATACCATTCTGCATACGAAAATATGAGACTCAGGCTCCAAATGGGTGGAGCCAGATGGGACTACAAATGGGGCGGCTGATTCGCTCAAGTTCGCTATTGCATAGGTTCCAGTGATTCATCCCTCAACCGTGAATCATAAGAGCCCTTTTGTCATGTGACCCGCTTGCTAAGAATCAATTATTCGCAGGAAATATGCGCCCGGAGCGCCGGCCACATATACCTGCAGAATGTTTCCTACCAGTGGGCACAAACTATTACGCAACGATGACGTCGTCGAGGCAAGGTGCCCACTACCTGGTGTTTTTATATATTAGTGCCACAAAATTGCGCACTAACTTTTACCTTAATCAGTGGAATTTCTCGGCGGAATTCAACTATGTTAGCAATGGAGTACCTAAGAGGGATACAATGGAGAAGTTGACATTATTAATTCCTTATTTTCTAGGGGTGAACAAATACTGGATCCACTATTTCATTTGTACTCTCAACATATCAAAGTATAATTGTATATACACATGCATAGTGCGTACTGGCTACGCAATGGAAGGTTCGCAACACACTGAGCGCACACGCATTCATGCTCGCATTCGCACATGCAATCCCACAGGCACACATCTAGTAGAAGAAACTGAGGAGAGATGCTCACAACATCAATAATCTGCAAGATACAGAGGAGAATAGACAAGATGGAGAAGCTAGGACAGCCTCGTTAAATTGAAAGTAGGACACGATGATATAGGTGAAGGCTGGATACGCAAATGAGTTAACGAAATGTAAGGAAATAACCCCACTAACGCTAAAGTTCAAGTACGTTTATTGAGACAATAAAATACATGTCAAAGGGATAGAGTAGATTAGGCTATTTCTACCCTCCTCCGCTAAGTCGCACAGAATGAGTATTGCGTACATACTCACAGAATGAGTATTTGGTACATAATAAATGAAGGGAGATTCATACAACAATATTGATAACAAGTTTGAAGGACTACAACAACCCGTGGGTCAAGAGTTAAGATGAGAAGCAAGAGGGAGTGAAGAAGAAAACAGAAGACAAGAGAAAACCGGGACATGGGCAACAGTGATGAGAACAGATACATGAGAAGGCATCAGGAAAACTATGAAATGTCATTGTATACAAAACAAAGAAACACCCAAATAATAATAATAACAATTCGTTTTGTCCGGAACAGGAAGCCTGTGTATATATATATACTTTAGGTTTGTATCAAGTTCAAGTACGTTTATTGAGACAATAAAATACATCTGAAAATGATACAGTAGCTTAGGCTATTCGAGGTTCCCCCTAAGATCGTCCACGGGAGTTAGGCTACTGTTATGGGGTTGTATCCTGGGGAAGGTCAGTACGGAGCCGGTCGGCCGAGCGGACAGCACACTGGACTTATTTATGATCCTGTGATCCTGGGTTCGATCCCAGGCGAGAAACAATGGGCAGAGTTTCTTTCACCCTATGCCCCTGTTACCAAGGTACCTGGGTGTTAGTCAGCTGTCACGGTGTAAAGGGTGCTTCCTGAGGGTGGAGGCCTGGTCGAGGACCGGGCCCCGGGGACACTAAAAAGCCCCGAATGGGGTAAGGAGGGGCGGGTGACCTCGATACAAGTCTAAGGTATACACACACAGGCTTTCTGTCCTCGACACTCGGTAATTATCAGGCAAAGCACACGAGGAAGTAGTAATATTTACACAGGATACATATTAACACCATAGTCTACAAACACCATGGCAACACACATGATTCATGGTCATAATGTTCTACATACAACTCGGCCCGCACATAGGGGCCTCGTCCCTGAGTGGACGGCGTTCAGGGGTTGTAGTCCTAATGGGCCCGGGTTCGATTTCTGGCCGAGGAGGAAACAAATGGGCAGAGTTTCTTTCATCCTGATGCATCTGTTCACGTAGCACCTGGGAGTTTGGCAGATGCTACGGGATGCTTCCTGGGGATGTGTGTGTGTGTACACACCTAACTAATTGTGCTTGCGGGGGTTAAGCTTTGGCTCTTTGGTCCCGCCTCTCAACTGTCAATCAACTGGTGTACAGATTCCTGAGCCTACTGGGCTCTATCATATCTACATTTGAAGCTGTGAATGGAGTCAGCCTCCACCACATCACTTCCTAGTGCATTCCATTTATTAACTACTCTGACACTGAAAAAATTCTTTCTAACGTCTCTGTGGCTCATCTGGGTACTAAGTTTCTATCTGTGTCCCCGTGTTCGTGTCCCACGGTCTGACTCTCTGCACCTATTTTCATTTTCAAATTACGACTTTTTATACCGAAAATATGCCAATTACTGAAAACGGCGATGGGTCATATTTTGCCCCCCCCCCCCCTGCAGTTTTCAAAATATCTGAAATGTCGGAAATTTGACTCCTGAGTGTGATTTTTGAGCCGAATTCTGACTCTGCACCTATTTTCATTTTCAAATTATTACTTTTACACCGAAAATATGCCAATTACTGAAAACGGTGATGGGTCATATTTTACCCAAACCCCCCCCCCCCCCCCCTGCAGTTTTCAAAATATCTGAAATGTTGGAAATTTGACTCCTGAGCGTGATTTTTGAGTCGAATTCTGACTCTCTGCACCTATTTTCATTTTCAAATTACGACTTTTTACACCGAAAATATGCCAATTACTGAAAACGGCGATGGGTCATATTTTGCCCAAACCCCCCCCCCTGCAGTTTTCAAAATATCTGAAATGTCGGAAATTTGACTCCTGAGCGTGATTTTTTAGTCGAATTCTGACTCTCTGCACCTATTTTCATTTTCAAATTACGACTTTTTACACCGAAAATATGCCAATTACTGAAAACGGCGATGGGTCATATTTTGCCCAAACCCCCCCCCCCCCCTGCAGTTCTCAAAATATCTAAAATGTCGGAAATTTGACTCCTGAGCGTGATTTTTGAGCCGAATTCTGACCTCCCACCCGTGCTGAAGAGTTTGTCTTTGTCCACCCTGTCAATTCCCCTGAGAATTTTGTAGATTGTTATCATGTCTCCCCTTACTCTTCTTTTTTCCAGGGATGTAAGATTCAGCTCCTTTAGCCTTTCCTCGTAGCTCATTCTTCTCAGTTCCGGGACGAGCCTGGTGGCACACCCCTGAATCTTCTCTAACTTTGTCTTGTGTTTAACTAGGTATGGACTCCAGGCTGGAGCTGCATACACACACACACATAAATGTGTGTGTGTGTATGCAGCTCCAGCGTGTGTGTGAGTGTGTGTTTGCATACTCACCTCTTTGTAGTCACCTATTTGTGCCTGCAGGATCGAGCACTGACTCTTGGATCCCGCCTTTCGAGCCATTGGTTGTTTACAGCAATGACTCCGGTTCTATTTCCCTATCATACCTAGTTTTAAAATTATGAATAGAATTTGCTTCCACAACCTGCTCCTTAAGTGCATTCCATTTTTCCACTACTCTCACGCTAAAAGAAAACTTCCTAACATCTCTGTGACTCATCTGAGTTTCCAGCTTCGACCCATGTCCCCTCGTTCTGTTACTATTCCGTGTGAACATTTCGTCTATTGCCACTCCGTCAATCCCCCTAAGTATTTTATACGTTCCTATCATATCCCCCCACCTCTCCCTTTTCTTTTCTAGTGTCGTAAGGCTCAGTTCCTTCACGTGCTCTTCATATTCCATCCCTCGTAACGCTGGACGAGTCTTGTTGTAAACTTCTGAACCTTTTCCAGTTTCATTATGTGTTTCTTCAGTTGGGGATTCCATGATGAGGCGGCATATTCTAAGACTGGTCTCACGTTGGCAGTGTAAAGCGCCCTAAATGCCTCCTTACTTAGATTTCTGAATGATGTTCTAACTTTTGCCAGTGTAGAGTACGCTGATGTCGATATCTTATTAATATGTGCCTCAGGAGTTAGAGTAGGTGTTACGTCCACGCCCAGGTCTCTTTCTCACGTCGTCACGGGTAGGCTGTTCCCCTTCATTGTGTACTGTCCCTTTGGTCTCCAATCACCTAATCCCATTTCCATAACTTTACATTTGCTCATGTTGAACTCCAGTAGCCATTTCTGTGACCATCTCTGCAACCTTTTCAAGTCCTCTTGGAGGCTCCTACAATTCTCATTTGTCACAACTCTTCTCATCAACTTTGCGTCATCCGAGAACATCGACATGTAGGATTCTACTCCTGTAAACATGTCATTAACGTATATTAGAAATAGAATTGGTCCCATCATTGATCCTTGAGGTACTCCACTCGTTACTGTTCACCAGTCTAACTTCTCGACCCTTACCATTACTCTCTGGCTCCTTCCTGTTAGGTAGTTCCTTACACATGCTAGGGCCTTTCCGCTTACTCCCGCTTGCCTCTCAAGTTTGAATAGTAGTCTCATGTGCGGTACTGTATCAAAGGCATTTTGGCAGTCCAGAAATATGCAGTCTGCCCAACCTTCTCTGTCCTGCCTTATCCTTGTTACTTTATCATGGAATTCCAAAAGATTTGTTAGGCAAGATTTCCCTTTCCAAAACCCATGTTGATGTTTGTTTACAAACCTAATGTTCTCTAGGTGTGCAACACATCTTAGCCTAATTATTCTTTCAAGTATTTTACAGGGGATGCTTGTCAGTGATACAGATTTATAGTTAAGTGCCTCCTCTCTATCCCCTTTCTTGAAAATCAGTACGACATTTGCCCTCTTCCAGCAACTGGGCAATTCTCCCGACATAAGTGATTCATTAGGTGTTCATCCTTGCCAGAGGCACGCCGAGAGCCTGCGCTGCCTCTTTAAGTATCCACGGTGATACTTTGTCTGGCCCAACCGCTTTAGTTGAATCCAGTGTTGTCAACTGTTTCATTACCTCCTCTGCTGTCACCTCT